GAAAAATTAGCCAACAGTCTGTCTCATGGGAACTCTCCTCTAGGTAACTGCTTTTCTCTTGCTGCTTTAAGATTCTCTCTTTACCTTTAACCTTTGGTATTTTAATTATGATGTGTCTTGGAGTGGTCTTCTTTGCATCCATCTTGTTTGGGACTCTGTGCTTCCTAGACTTGCGTGCCTGTTACCTTCACCAAAATAGGGAAGTTTTCTTTCACTATTTTTTCATCTAGATTTCCAACTTTTTGTTCTTTCTCTTCTCCTCCTGGTACCTCTGTGATGAGAATGTGGTAACTCTTCAAGTTGTCCCAGAGGCTGCTTATACTACCTTCATTTTTTTAGATTCTTTTTTCTTTTTGTTGTTCTGATAGGTTTTTGCTTCCTTATGTTCCAAATCATTGGTATGAGTATCAGCTTCATCCACTCTATTGTTGTGTTCTCACAATTCATTCTTTATATTAATTAGTGTATCCTTCATTGTGACTGGATCTTTTAAGATTTTACTTATTGTTAGAGGGAAAGGGAGGTAGAGAGAAAAGAAACATCAATGTGTGCTTGCCGCTCTCATGCCCCCTCCTGGGGACCTGGCCTGCAACCCAGGCATGTGCTCTGACTGGGAATTGAACTAGCGACCCTTTGCTTCACAGGCCAGTGCTCAGTCCTCTGAGCCACACCAGTCAGGACATGACTGGATCTTTTTCATGCTGCTGAGGTCCTCACTAAGCTCCTTGAGCATCCTTACAACCAGTTTTTTTTTTTTGTTTTTTTTTAAAAAGGCCATGTCTATTTTTTTTTTTAAGATTTTATTTATTTATCTTTAGAGGGGAAGGGAAGGAGAGAGGGAGAGAAACATCAATGTATGGTTGCCTTTCGTGTGTCCCCTGCTGGGAAGTGGCCTGCAGGGAACTGGTCTGCAACCCCGGTATGTGCCCTGACTGGGAATCGAACCGTGATTGTCTGGTTCGCAGGCCCGTGCTCAATCCACTGAGCTACACCAGCCAGGGCTACAACCAGTGTTTTGAACTCTGCATCTGATAGATTGCTTATCTGCATTTCATTTAGCTCTTTTTCTGGGGTTTTCATTTGTTTCATTTGGGCCATGTTTGTCTCATTTTGACAGCCTCACTGTATTTATTTCTATGTAGGTTGACTTTGTCTTGATAGTGTGGCCTAATGTAGAGGGTGTCCTTTAGGGTTGAATGGCACAGCCTCCCCTATGACCCAAGCAGGGAACTTAAAGTGTACCCTTTGTGTGGGCTGAGCACACCCTCCTTTTGCAGTTGAACCTTGGTTGCTACTGGCAGATCAATTGCAGGGATTTACCTGCAGGCCAGCTGGCGGCAAGGACTGGTTGTGACCACTTACCACCAACCTCTACCTTCCATGGAGGATCAGCTGTTTAGGGGCAGGTGATGGTGCTCTGATGTGGTCTGTAGCTATCCACTCTATGTGCTGACCCTGGGGTTTTCCAGGTGGTGCAGGCCAAGGTCAACCCCTACCTGTGTTTTACCCAGGGCACCGTTCCTGAGCTATGAAGCAACCTGAGATGGCTCTACTTGTGCTGGGCTCAGATATTCTCAGGCAAAGCCAAGCTGTGAATCGAAGCTGGCTGCCACTGGTGCCAGGCCTGGGGCTCACTGAAGGCAGCTGTTGCTTGTTTGATATGATTTAGGAAGTTGTGAAGCATAAGCCAATACCAGCCATTCACATGGAAAAGCAGCCAGCCAGAGCAGGTCATAAGTTGGGTGGTGCAGAGTCTCTGGGGATCTCCAAGGTTGGTCAAACAGTGTTAGTCAGGTTGATGGAGTCTCAGATATGGCACCAGCTTCCCGGCTGTGAGGGGAGGGTTTAGAAAAGGGATAATGGCATCTGCTTGCCCTGATACCAGACTTCAGCTTTTCCCTGTATATCACTTGTGCCCTTTAAGCCGCCACTCTGGTGCTGAAGTCTAGAGGGAGTGAATCTGAGTAGGTGAGTCCCTGTGAGGGTCTCTAAGAACTGCTTGGGGCTCTAACTGTTTCCCCCACTGACTCAATCCCCAGTCAGAAGTTGTGGGGATTTACCTTCCTGGCACTGGAACCCTGGGCTGGGGGGCCTGGTGTGGGGCTGGGACTCCTCACTCCCAAGATATCCCTCTCAAATTTTTATCCACCACTTGATTGTGGGACCAGACCATTCCGTGTCCACGCCTCTTCTACTTGTGTGGATGGATGTGGTTTCTCTAATTTCATAGTTGTCAGACTTCCATTCCACCTTGATTTCTGACTGCTCCTCTTGATGGTTATTCTATATTTTTGATGTAATTCTGATGTGGTTGTGTGAAAAGTTAAGCCACATCTGCCTACATCTCCATCTCGACCATTAGTTCTATTGTAATTTTAATTTCTAACTAGTTCTATTTTATGTCTTCTATCTCTTTATTGAAGTTTCTCTGAGATCATTGAGTACCTTATAAAACCGGTGTTTTGAACTCTGCATCTGGTAGATTGCTTGTCTCCATTTTATTTATTTCTTTTTCTAGAATTTTGTTCTGTTCTTTCATTTGGGACATATCTGTTCATTTTGGCTGATTCCCTGTGTTGTTTTCTACATATTAGAACTATCTGCTACATCTCCCAGTCTTGGCAGAGTGGTCTCATGTAGGTGTCTTGGAGGACACAGTGGTACAATCTTCCTGGTCACCTGAGCCAGTGCTCAGGTGTGTCCCTTGTGTGGGCTGTATGTGGCACCCTGTTGTAGTTAAGCCTTGATTGCTTTGGTACATCAATGAAAGGGACTGACCCTCAGGCTAACTGGCTAAAAGGAATAGTGGTGACTACAGTAGACGAACTTCTGTGCAGGGATTGATGCCAGGGAGCAGGATTCAGTATGTCAAGGTCCTGGTACCTGCTAAATCCACCTTTGGGTGTACAACTCATCTTTATAATTCCAGCCCCTAGCCCAGTTTCACTCTTTCCTAACTAATTAATATGTATTAAATGAAGATTCACAATTAATAAACAATCCTGTGAAAACAGAGTGGCTAGGTTTTAAAAAATGTATCTTTATAGCACAGAAGTAAAACTTCAATAAAATTAAAACATTACAAAGAAAATCCTGTACAAATGGGACTGTAAACTACCTTTATCATCTCCCATCTTTGTCCTGCTAATTCTGAGCTCCAAGTCCATGTCCACCTAATCAATGTGATTTCATCTCCACAATCCAAAATAAATGCTCAGTGAAAAAGTGTCCAATAGCTCTGCCCAGAGTGGCTTACTTGATTGGAGCATCATCCTGTAAACCAAAAGGTCACAGGTTTGATTCCCAGTCAGGGCACATGCCTGGGTTGCAGGTTCAGTCCCCAATCAGGGCATGTATAAGAGGCAACTGGTTGATGTTTCTCTCCTCCTTCTCTCCTTTCCCTCCTCTCTAAAAAATCAACAAGCATGTCCTGAGGTGAGGATTAAAAAAGTGTGTAATAAAAAAGTGAATGTTATCTAAAATGCTCAGGTGACTTACTAAATAGTGAAATGGCCACAAGTATATAAACAAGAGAAAAACTCATTAAACTTTTGACATTTTCTAGCCTTAATTATTCAAAATAATTCAGAAGTCATATACTAATACCCAAATCATATGTCAATTGGACTTTTAGAAAAGTCTGGGGGAACAATGGGTGCTTAGAACACAGTACCAATTTTCCCATAGAAACATTATAAATAGTGGTGAGCTACCAAGACCAAGCCATAGAAGCCTCCCAGACCCATAACAACAGAACCACTTTTACAGTACAAGGAAACCTATTCCAGAGATGTTTCAGGGTTGACACAAATACTTCTTTGTGTGCATATGCATTGATCCCAGAAAAGCGAAGCACAAATCTAAAAGAGAGTCCTGACACTAAGAAAAGGTACTTTGCATGGTGCCTGGCAAATAGTACATATTCAATAAATTATATCTATTTTTATCCAGATACCCCATTTCAAACTTGTATATTCATGAAGATAGCTTTATTTTCCTCACTACATACTAACCGTAAATTAAAAAGTACAGGACAAATCCTCACCACTGTATCTACATGCCTCCCTCATAGCCTGCTGCCCATGGGTGTTTGATGCTTGCCTGCTAATAAAGAACTCTTAGTGCCAACTGATCTCAAAACAACAAGCAGGCTTGAAACCAGAGAACCTTATATAGTTTCAGGTGCTTTATTAAATAAACTACCTTGCTCCTCAAATTGATTATTTTTTTAAATCGTCAATAAAATAGAAAAAGAAATTACAAAAGTTCACATAGAAAATAGTCCTCTAAGAGCTTCCAGCTCAGATTAACACTGTCCTAGACAAAAGCAACCTTGTTAAATGGCCGGTGGTGAGACATGGCATCTGAATTCTCTGGGCCTGGGTAATTTTACTAAATAAGAAATGGAGCACAGAACACATCATACTTTCTAGCTTAGACTTACTTGACTAAAATTACTGCATATTTCATGAAAACATGAAATAATAGCAATCATGCATAATGACACCAAACTGACAACTGTTTTCATTTTAATACCATTAGTTTCCTCCGGTACACATTTTTTTTCAAAGTTGCAATCCTAGTGTAAAAATAAATTTATTTCCTACTCCCTACCCTCCATTTACAGTAAGAACTGCCCATTACAAACTAGACTTATTCCTCGGCCAACGTCAGAGCAATTTATGCTTACAGTTGTAAAACATAGGTTTAGCAACAATATTCTAGAAGACCACAAGATGGTGATGTTGCTCAAAAACAAATGCACCTTTAAAAAATATATAATCAAATACATTATACCAGCTTACCAAAAAAAAAAAGTTTTCCTTCCTTGTAAGTAAGGGTCGTCAAAAATGTTTGTACTTTACTAGGAAACATTAGTGAGGAGAAAAATACTTTCATCAAATTTAGCACAAACTATTCTAATTTTAAAGACAAACAGTTATGGTCTCTAAAAACAACACAAAAACTTAGGCACTACTATTGTCTTTTATCACACTTACCTTTCCTTCTCTGCTTGATCCATCCCCTTCTTCCTCAGGTCATAATAGAGAAATGAAATACATTTTTACTTGTAATGCATTGAATGACTTTATTTTTCCTAATTATTGTTAATTTAGGAAGATGATTCCTATTTCTGTTTCAAAAGGTAAATTTATTTACATTGACAATGGAGAAGAATGCCAAATAATATCAGCAATGAGAATCAGATAATTTTTTTACTAATAATGTCCTCCATTTCTTATAATATGCAACATTATGTTTACAGTGGCAAAACACCAAAACTTTTCAAGCAAATAATGTTGCATTTGGTACTTTTTCCCACGCCTTAGTGATTATCAGTAGACATAGGTTTCCCATGTCTGTGCTGCATGGCAATTAAGAAACAAGATTCAAATAACACTAAGCATCTTAAAACTTGGGTTCCAAACTTACAGAATCAACTAAATATATAAACAGCACACTCCCTGGCTTTTTGTAAATACTCCTTGGCCAGAATAGACAACAGAGTATCCCTATCTTGAGACCACCTGCACTTAAATTGGTGTGTAAGTGATGCAGAAACATAGCCAGTCTTAAACCTGGAATCTGAATCAAGTTTCTGACTCCAAAAATAGTAAGAAAAATAGTGATCACTTATCGGGCTCCTATTATTTGTCAGTTGCCTTATAAAAAACTAATGTTAATAATTATTCCTCAGAGTCTTGATTTTTCCTACTAACAGATGAGGAAAATTAGGTTTCAGGAACTAAAAGTGCCCAGGGCCACAAAACTAGTGAGTCAGGATTTTGAACCCAGAATTCTTAGGCTCAAACCCAATGCTCTTTTCACCACATCTACACTGCAAAAACAGAATATAAAACAAGAGATGCTGAACTAAACCCATGCCTTAAAATGAACAGTTTGCCACATCAATCAAATGTTACTATTCACTTTTTTTTTTCACATAAACATTCACAGTAGGGTGATTTTGAGAGGCTTTTAAGCTAGTCATTGAAAATGCTTTTTCTTGAGGTTGAAAGAGAAAGTATAAGTAATCTTTAAAATGACAATGTGTGAGAGTGTAAACACATGAAGAGTGAAGAGGGGCTAAGCTGTAGGAACTTTTTAAGAAATCATTTCCATGTGTTCTGGGGAAAATATCCAGGCCAACATAACATTCTTACTTTGCAAAAATCAAACTTCATGTAGTTATATTATTACAATCTCATACTTCAAAATGACATAAACATTTCCATAAATAATTGGTCATTTGTTTCAAATGACCAATTATTTATGGCATTTTAATAATTAGTCTTGCTTACCAGACTTTTTTTTCCTTCAAATCCAAAAATTTTTAATATTTTGGTATTCAAATACCTAGTACTTGCTCCATCTCATGAAGTGGCAGAAAGCAGTCATGAAAGCCTAGAGCTGAGGTGAGACCCTTTTTCAGGGTCAAAAGCCTCTAGATGTCAGGCCTGCTGGTGAGGCTAGTTGTCCTCTGCACTGCAGTGGTCACAAGGGTAGCATGACATTCATCCAAAACACTTCCCAAGTCTTTCCAAAGACATTAAGGATTCTAATTTGCCCACATTTAAGCAGCCTTGGAGATCTGTGAACTCTCCTATTCCAAAGTGCCAATTTCTAGTTTGAGAAAACCATGTTGGGGTAATATGATATGGAGGGCAGCTTTCAGAGTCTGAGGACCTAGGTCCAAGCCTCAACTCTTTCTGTGTACATGCCACTCTGTTTCTTATTTGTAAAAGGAGGTTTCTAATATGAAGGGGGGAACTAGCATTGCATCTAGCATCTGAACCAGTGCTAATTTCCTCCAGACTCTAGCACCTCAGCCACCCTTGCCACAACCTCCATGCCTATGGCAGAGCCACCTAGCAGAGCCACCTACTGTACCTTCCATAACAATACAGACAACAGCAGTCACAGACCCTGCTGTAAACCCTTTATCTGAAGCAGGATCAGATTGAAATTACATTCAGGCAGCTGAGAGGAATACAGTACTGCTCAAGTTTTTGTTATAAATGCACAATTTCAAGATATTTTTAAGTTTATTCAAGTAACAGACACATGGTGTTAATTTACTATTTAAAAATATTCTTCCTGAGAATTCTAAAGCATGCTGCCAAGTACAAACTTTCATCAGAGATCCTCACTCTTAGAGGCAAATTTATATATCAAAACACAGAAACTTCCCTAAGTGAGATAATCAATTAAACAGTTAAAATTCTGCTCCTTGAATAATGCATTTTTTCTCATGCTTAAAATACAGGAACACAATCCTTTATCTATAAATCCAAAACCCCAAAAGCTTTAAAAACTTAAAGTTCCTTCATAACTCATTGGGTGGCAAAATCTGACCAGACATGTAGCTATTTTGTCCTTATTTACCTACACTTAACAAACATTTGCCAAAGAAAGTACAGGACACTGCCCTAGACTTTAATCGAACTTTTTGTAACATAGTATATGGAGTGTATTACCTTTCTAACAGTAATTTTGAAACATGTCTGACATCAACGAAAAGCTAACATGAACCCATCCTAGAGAATATTTTGAATACCAAGTGTCAGGTTTAAGCCACACAATAGATCTGTGAATTTATTATTATTACTACTTTACATGTGAATACCGTTTACATATGCTAAAACTAGGGCTTAATATTAATCTAAAGTGAACATGGCTAAGCTCACGCAGCCAAAAATGAGTGCCAGAAAATCTAGATGTCTTACTTTAAGGACTGAGCTTTTTTAATAGCCACACTTAAAAAAATTAATCACAAAAAATGTTTTAAAAAAGTTAAAATCGCCAAAACTTGTACCCTAGGAAAAGGATACAATGTATACTTTCTTTCTAGGTCTTCACATCTAAATAGTCACGCCGTAATACAGCTCACAGGACAAAAAGAGATGAATGTATTGTTTTTCTCCCCAAACCACTGGCTACAAAGTCAGTGAAAACACACAAAACAACAGGTTCCTCAAACAAACATCAACTAATCCTTTCCACTCAAATTTAGACAGAATTGGAGGTTTGGCTTTTTTTTTTTTTTACCACAAAATGTACTAACACGATAAAAATATGGCTAATATAAACATAGGTTATGTTTTTCTAGTAACAGCCCCAAATCGAAAGATCTGCCGTTCCAACAACAGCTATGGTCACAGAACTGAAAAGGGTTTAAGTGACACAGACACAGACTGTCACCACTACTGCCCTAAACTAAACTCAGAGAAAATAAGTTTCAAGTTTTGGGGTTTTTTTCATTAATCAATTTGAAATTTAAACTGTTTCTCATGACTTTCTTCCCAAATCAGTGCCACCTGCTAAGCAATGGCTTTCCCCACAACAGACAGATCAAGGCATCCTACCTCCTTTTACCCTAAAATCAAATTCTAAATCAGACACACTTCACTTGCAGAATCTCTATTTTTGAGTAGCTTATCTGAGCAAAGTGAAAAGCACATTATCTGATAACTAATCACAATGTCTAACTTAACTGTTCCCATAAGCATTTAAAAAAAAAAGAAATGTCTTCATTCAAAAGACTTTCTTCTTTTGGAGAAGTATGGGGAAATTGTTTGGCCGAGGGACCCTGAGGAATGCCTCTTGCTGGATCACTTCTCTTGCCTGTTCCTTACTGAAATCACCATGTATCAGGTTCTGAGGTTTCTTCGGAAAAGTTCTGGGCAATTACTTTAAGTCTCTTTAAACCTCTGAAAGGGTCCGATGTTAAGCTATCTTTGCATTTACATCATACAGTATGTTTCATGAGCTGTAGTTTAGAAAGTAGTCTCCGGGAGCACCAGAACTCCAAATACAGGTTTAGTTTCTACCAGCACTTCTCAAACTAACATCTGAGTTATTTGTTAAACATGAAATGCTTAACCCCTACAATCAGGAACCCTACCATAGATCTGGAATGGGTACTCAACAATCTCTATGGTTAACAAAATCCTACATAACTATGATGATGGTGTTAACAGTAACTCCTTCCTAGACTGCACAGCCAAACCCTCACCAGCTCAGCCACACTGGATCTCTCTCTGATTCATTTTAGCAAGTTACTTTTTACATTAGGTAAGATTTGATATACAGCTCCACTCATGCCAAAATAGCTGTCTTGGCAAAATGAGTGGCTCCCAGAAAAGTGGACTTATTTAATTTTTTAACTTAATAAGGAATTAAGGCAATAAAAAGGGTTTATTAAGGCAATAAAAAGGGTTTAAGGGCTGCTTATGTCCCAGGGACTATACTTTCTGCTTTACAAACATTATCTCAATTAATCCTTACAAAAACCCAGCAAGGAAGATATTCTTTACATTTGACAGAAGATAAAACTGAGACAACACTCTTAGGCAGTATTGACAGACATTGTTCTACCTGACTTTAAAGCTACAACTCTTATCCCAAATGACAGCCTATCTTTTCAGTTCTTCAACTGTAAGTGTAGAATCATTTAGTTTATTTACTTTTAAGGTAAAGTTTGTCCTAATTTAAGTTCATTTAACTAATCCTTCTGCTCCACACTAACTAAACACAAGTGTAGGACATCTTGGCATGTGGGGGATGCTACATGGCCAGAGTATCCATTTTAAGTTAGGACTCAACAGTTTGTTTTCTCCCATCTTATTTAATAAAAATTATGGGCATACTAAACAGCTATTATAAGAACTTATCTTTCTTAAAGATCTGCCATACCTACAATTCTGTCAATGCTAGTACATTTTTAAACTACCCAAATAATTTAAAGCAGAGAGGAGAGCCACTGAGAAACACTGTAACATACTTCTACCTGTCCCCTTCTTTGTGCCTTAGCCCTTCCTATCTACATGATCATGTTTCTCAGTAGAGTCAAGCATCAAAATCCTCCCTACAACAGCCAATGAAGTATTTTCGGAAATCTGCAGATTTGTACTAGGATGCGGAAGCCCATTTCTGAGTGAGTGCACATGAAATGCTTCAAAGTGCTCCAAAGCCGCACCTAAATTCTTTAAATGAGATGTTGATTCTTTATTCCACTCAGAAGCTATAATATAAAAACAAAACATTCATTTCCTTCACTCCAGTTAGCCTTAACACTACTTAGATAACCCAAACTTAAAAAAAAAGGCTACGAAAATAAAATGATAGTGACATAAAGACAAAAGATGAACATAAAGTAAGAAAAACCTAGCTTCCAGTCTTGACATTTACCTGTTCCTGGATGAGATGAGCATTACTTTATTCCTTGTTTCCTTACAGAGGGCCTAGATACAAAGTACTAAAAGTACTAGGTAGTTTAAGTGTCACCTCCCAAGAGTTTTCCAGAAGCCCCATTTATGTAATAAACTGGTCTGGTATAATCCTGGGATTCATATTCTTATCTGGTCCCTCTCCCTTGAATCTGGGATGACCTGTGACTTGCTGTGAACAATGGAATATGGCAGAAATGATGTTATGCTGGTTCCAAAGACTATGGCTTAAGGAAACCTGGTTGCTACTGCTTTTGAACTCCTCTGAGCCCTGAGCAACCACTTGAGGCCAGCAATCCTTCTGGAAAGGCCACTAGGCAAGCAAGAGGCCCTGAGACAACAAGATTATATGGTACAAGAGGAAGAAGAAGAAAAAGAGATAGGGAGAGAGAGAGGAGAGACCAGTACCCAGAGGAACTACCAGTTGAATGTGGCCAACTGAGTGACCACCAGCAAAGCCAGAAGAAATGTTCAAGTGAGACCAGCTGGCAACCTGCGAAAGCAAAACCGTGACAAAAAAAAAAAAAAAGAAAGAAAGAAAAGAAAAGAAAAACATTGTCTTTGGTTTTAGGGTTGTTTGTTACATAGCAATAAATAACCAAAATAATGCTTACCTGGTTCCTTGTACTTTTGCATAATTTCCTCAAAACCGAGAGAAAAGGAGTGTAGTTAGAAGCATACCTCGCTTTACTGCACTTCACAGGTGCTGTTTTTTTTTTAACCATTGGAAGATAAGAACCTTCACCAACAAAAAGATGAAACCTCATTTTATTGTGGTGTCTGGAACCAAACCCACAATATCTCCAAACTGTGCCTGCAACTATAATTCCAAATACTCACACAATCCCAGAAGTAAATTTCATTTACTTCTCTTCCCACCCCACCTTATCCTACCCTATCCCATCCCCCATCAAGACTGAGATTACAAAGGAAATAAGTAAATGATTGGCCTAATATTACACTACCTGCTCTCCATACACTCAATTCATCCCTCAGCCTCACCAGCATTCCATCACATGGAAAGAATAAGAGTCCACACAGTACAATGAAAACCTAAGAGCCAAAAATCACAAATTGTTAACTGGAAGGAACCTCCCAGGATCATCTAGTCCTCACTGACAAGGTCACATAAAGGCAGTAACTATACCCAATGATGATAAATCAATTGCATACATCATACAAGAAAGAAATCAACTCCTGATTCCAATTTACATACTTGCCAATTGAAATATTTGGGGCAAATCATTTAACCTCTTGGGCTAGTTTGCTCTGTAACACAATAGCAAATAACATAAGTTAGTCAAAATTCACTGTAAACAACAACACAAGTGAAAGGAGATAGTGTCCTTGGGTGTAAATATAGTGTGTCTCTACAGTAAGGGTTCTAAGCAGTAAATAAAAGAATTTGAAAGTTTTAGTGTTTTAAAAGCCCCAACTAATTCTGAGAGCTGCTTCCAGGTCAACCCACTGGCTCAGGGGTTCCATGAATAAGCTTCAGGTGGTCCACAGACTCTCTAAAACAGGGGTGTAATACTCATTTTTACCGGGGGCAGGGGGCCACATTATCGGCCTCAGAAAAAGGGCCGAATGTAATTTTCGGACTGTATAAATGTAACTACTCCTTAACTAGGGGCAAGGAGCTGGCGCTGCCACTGAGTAGAAACAAGATGCTGGGCCGGATTAAAAAAAAAAAAAAAAGGTAAGGGCCAGATTCGGCCAGCAGGCCTTGTTTGCCACCTGTGCTCTAAAATGCTAAGCAGAAAGCACAGGTGCATACAGAAATTTCCTAGGCCAGGATTCTTTAATTCCACCAAGGATTACTAATCCCCAAAACATTGAGAACTCCTGCTACAAAGTAACACATGCCAAATATAAAGCTTCTGTAAATGTGCTCAATACCATACCACTATTAACGTGAATCTGAGCCTTAAGTTATTTTCCCTCTCATCATCAATTCTGCCTAATCTACTACTCCCTTCCTCTTTACCATTCCTGTATTTACAGCCATAGCTTAACTCTTCTCTACCTATGATCACAGCAATTACAGTGTTCTCTGTATCCAAGTGTTCTCTACTTCAATCCACGCTGCAACAGCTGCCAGATTAACCCTCTGAAAAGAGATTTACATTACATTCTCAACTCAAAGTTATTGGTAAAACCCCCACTGTCTACCAACTCCAAGATCATCTGCCTGAATTAAAAGCAAACATAAATTGGTCAATTTTTACTTCAAGCTTCATCATCCTCATTACTGGTACAAATACTTGATGTTCCATCCTAACATAAATATTTCCATCTCTTCAGATGTATGAACTCTGTGCTCTTCTTAGTCCCTTCTTTCTGCTTTGGATTACCTTTCCCTACCGGTCAAGATTCTTAGTCATCCTTCAAAATTTCCCAAGCCAGGAAACCCTACCTTCCCAAATGAGATGTGGGCTTTTCCCTTTTTAAATTTGAATTCTGCAGGTACCTTAACTATTTATGAAAAGACAAATGAGCCCTGGCCAGGTGGCTCAGCTGGTTGGAGCACAGTGCTGTGCACCAAAAGGCTGAGGGTTCAACCCCCAGGCAGGGCACACACATACGGGTTCCATGCATGGTTGGGGCACATATGGGAGAAAAATCAATAATTTCTTTCCCCCCCTTTCTCTCTTTAAAACAACAAAAACCACCTATATCCCTGGGTGAGAATTAAAAAAAAAAAAATGAGGCATGTATGTATAGTCCTACCCACCCAACTTGTCCTTGAAGGCAGAAACCATCATCATGCTCACCTTTATAGTCCCCAATACCTCACACAGTCATGCAGTAAATGCTTAATAACTGTGCAAAGTAGTAAAAGAAATTGCAGGCTTCCTGAGTGAACAGTAGATCCCCTCTTTGAAGGCTTTATCTGTGACATCCTCTATCACACCAGGATTCCAAAACATAGCCCTTACTTTCTGCTTTTCAAAGTCCAGGAAGAACTATTTGAAAATGTCAGTAAGCTACATCTAAAAGAACTATTCATTTATTTCACACTTCTCAATCTGAGTGGCTCCCAATACTTGGCCACTAAGTACTCAATTTGAAAAAATATTAACTGCTTATAAAAAGTAATCATTTCCATAATAGCTAATTTACTACTTTATGACTAAAAACAAACTACATACATAAAAGAATGCCTTTCTTTTTTAAAGGGTGCATTTTGCTTGCATAATACAGAGAGTCAGTGCCCACAGATAAGGTTGATTGATAGTAAGTGGGAATTCTCGTGAAAACCTGCATACAACTGCTCACTAGGTGTTTCAGGTAAAAACACCAAAGGTAGAGAGAGAACTTCAGACATCATTCCCTTCCACCACTGTTACCAATAGCATTTTAAAGCACAACTCAAAATCCTTTGAACATTAGGCTGCACACACACAAAAATATATATATAAAACTTATCCAAGAGAAAATAAGCCACGCCAAGCGCCTGGAAGAGAAAAAATGTCAACAGGCAGTGAGTGGTCTTGTCTGGTCATCACAGGAACGAAGGCAGCTTCACTCCCAGGCGACGGGGTGAAGGAAGGACCTAGCACAGGATGTTCCCTCAAAAGTGGCAAAGCGATGAGCCAACTACAAAATTAACATCTTGTAAAGGTCGGCAGGAGGAGTCCCAGTTGCTAGCAAAAACTGCAAGGTCACTGGAACCTGGCAAATCACCGGGGTGGAGGTGGGGTGCACTGGGGCTGCAGCCAGGACTAGGTGACACCGGCGAAGAACGCGGTCCAGGACGCGGTGCGGAATACCAAGCGCGGTCAGGAAGTGCACCCGGCGTCTCTCAGGGTGGCAGGGGGACAAGGTGAGCAGCTGGGCAGCCGCGCAACAGAGTTACCGGGACACTTCGCTCCGGCCTACGTCAGGGCCACACGGCAGCCTCGCGACTCTGCTTCGGAGAGGTCCGCCTGGGCCGAAAGCTCGGCCTCAGAGTCTCCACCCACCCCCTGCCCAGTCCGCGCCCCACTGTCCTCACCAGCTCCCAAGCTCGCAGCGGCGCGTCCCCGCGGCGGCGGCGCCTTAGCCCTCGGCGACCAGGACCGCCATCTCGCCGCAGGCGCGGCCCACAGCTAGGCCACCCGCAGCTGCTCGGAAGCTCTTTCGCCACCCGACCCTCCCCACCAAACCCGCCCCACCGCGATCACCTCCGCGGACCTGCTCTTCCCTCCCCAAGAACGCACCACCCAGCCAACTGAGCCGGACCCCACTAGCTTCCCCGAGCATGCGCAGCCTAGGCATCAGCAAAACCGCTCGGGAAGTCTCCCCCAGCGAGTCTTCCGGGCGTCCGGGGTGGGGGGGGGCGGGGGGAGGAATGTGGACGGCCACCCAATGGGAGAGGAGGGCGGAGCACCGAGCCGTCGTGGGCGTGGCCTGGACCTCGAGGCGGGGCTAGAGCTACGGAGGGGCGGAGACTGGAGAGAGGCTCTCAGAGTTGGAGGTGTGTGCTGCTGCCTTGGAGGTGCGTGCTGCTGCCTTGGAGGTGCGTGCTGCTGCCTTGAGTTTGCGGCTGCAGCGGGGCAGTGCCTGTTTTCCAGGGAGGACCTCGGGATCCAGCAGTCCTCTGGAACGCTTTACTGCAAAGGTGGGCTCTAAATGAGTATCTGTTGTCCAAGCTGGGCGCTGCAGAACATACTGCAAGAGTAAATAAACGCCATCAACAGGGGACTACCACCCTTTATTGGCCACCAAATCTTGCGCCAGGCCCTGCAGGAGTACAATGACGAAATACTAAGTAAAGACACGGGTGAATCTCAGGTGGTACAGCCTGCCACACCCACTTGCACAAAACACAGGTGTTTTTTTTCTTTATTGCTTTCAGAAGAAATACTTCGCAAGTACAGTTCATGTTGACCACATTACTCATCAGATGACCTTGAAAATAGCAGGTTGGTGCCACCTAATCAACGAATGGAGTCCCTTATGGAGTGTGGTGAAACGATTTTACTCAAGTGAAAAGTTCGGCATCTAGCGAGACACAAGCTCTGGAGGAAGAAGTACTCCTATAGAGCAAGGGGAGGCCCCTTATATACATAGGAAGTTTCTGGTTCCCTGATTGGGCAATTTCTATGCAAATGAGGAATTCAAATTTGCACAGTTTGATGGTCCAAATTATACTGTCTTGATTGGTCAGATTCATGTGTTCTGATTGGTCATTATGGACCCACTCTGATTGGTTGATAAAGATGCAAATGAAGATGCAACTGTGCAGCTCTGGTTGGACAGGGTAGGTCTCAACCCACTGGTTGAAATACAGTATCAGAAGGTTTTTCATAAGGATGTGCTCACATGGGCGCAGCCCAGTGCAAGAGGCTGGCAGCTAAGTCCACTGCTATTCCCTTATATGCAGTAGGTATGAATTTGAGCCTGATTAACCCTGAAGAATCCTTCTTAAGATCCACACCCTGGTCTTCTACTTTAGAGGCATAATAAAAGCCATTAAGCATGGATTTCTACAATTTTTGCCCAAGTGCTGTACCCAAAACTGACCAATTACTTGCCCAAGCTGACTAGCGTTCCTTCTGTCTCCATCCTGGGTAGCTCTGCTCCTTCTCAAAGTGCCCCTCTTCCCTGTCTGCTCTCTCCTGTGGCATATCTACTCTCTCCTTGGCATATCTTTAACCCCACCTTTTCCATTGGCAAAACTCCTCAGCAAATTGGCTGTTTAAGTCTTTTCTGTCTTAAATTTTACCTTGACTTTAAAACCTATTTCTAGTTCTCTCTCTTCTTCCATCATAATCAAGCTTGTAAAAGAATCATGTACCAAGAATAGGATTACACTCTGTATTTGTAGCATTCAGCATCTCTTGATTGAATGAATGCACATTCTCTTCTCTCCACTGGGTCCTCTGACATCATCCCTGGATGTGTGGCACACCATATTTCTAATGATTATTATAAAATATGCATCTGGGCATGTCACTCCACTGCTTAAATCTTTCATTGGCCTTCAGAACTTTCAAGACAAAGATGTTCAAGGCCTCTATGCTCAAATGTCCAGTCACCCATTATGAAAATGTTTCAGAGCCCTCTGACTGTGCTCACTGATTTCCACTTTACCAAGCACAGTTTCCTCTAACTTTTCCCTCATTTTTATTCACCTGTCTAGTCCCATTAAAAATAAGTTCAAAAACACGCTCACAAGTGCCCCTCAGACATTAAATGCAGGTGTCTAGCAGAGGTCTACAGTCTGTCTCTGTATACATACAGGCTTCCTTCTGCTCTCTGCTCTATTCACTCTCACTCACAGCAATTTCAAGTTCTGTTTCCTACTTTCTTCAGTTCCATTCAGAGCACCTAGTACTCACCTAGACCCCTAAGTTGACAGCTAAAATTGAACCAGCCTTTTTTTTTTAAGAGAAATAGGAAGGGTTTTTTAAGATTTTTATTTATTTATCTTTAGAGAAAAAAGGAAGGAGAGAAATATCAATATATGGTTGCCTCTCATGAATCCCCTGCTGGGAACTGGCCTGCAACCCAGGCATATGCCCTGACTGGGAATCGAACTGCGATCGTGTGGTTCGCAGGCCTGCGCTCAATCCACTGAGCTACACCAGCCAGGGCTGAACCAGCCTTTTATTATTACATGTTTGTTTGGTTTCAAAAGAATCCAATTATAAATAATGTCTTTCATAGATCATTTTCCATGTCCCGACTATCATAGTTTAAAAAGTAATCAGGGGTAGGAATACTTTTAGCCCTTATGAAACATTGGCAAATTGTCTCCCAGAAAAAACCTACATTTGATGTCACATTGGTCGGGACCAACATGCAGCTCTGCCACAGAGGGCCACATTCAGACTTTTGCGGGCCCTAGACACTTTTACCTCTGTGGGCCTCTTCTTCCATAAAATAATATTAAAATTATATTTATAATTGTATTGATATGAAGATGAACATATTAGTATTGTACATTAAAATGTTTCCTTTAGCCTTAACATTACTGGTAATTTGTTTTCCTTTTCATTTTAAAAGAAATTAAAACATTTTTATAGGACCCAAAAGTATGATAACAATGATTTGAAACAACTTCTGATGAAAATGAAAGAAGGAAGTGCCAAAGCAGAATTGCATTTGAACATCAAGAAGATATGAATTGTGACTACGGAAGAAATACTCTGTTACATAAACAACAAAGACATCAAAATTGTTAATATTTTGCTGACCTTGGATCAATCATCAGTTCAAATGGAGACTGCAGTCAAGAAATCAAGAGAAGACTGACACTTGGAAGTGCAGCAATGGAGGAATTAGGAAAGATCACCAAAAGCACAGATGTGTCATTAGAAACCAAGCTAAGATTATCCACATCCCCATATTCCCAATTACTATGCATGGATGTCATAAATGAACAGTGAAGAAGGCTGAAAGGGAAAAACTGATTTCCTTTCATATGGTGTTGGAGAACTCCACTGATACTCTGAACCACCAGGAAGATGAACAAGCGGGGACTAGAGCAAAGCAAGCCTGAAACATCACTGAAAGAAAAAAATGACAAAACTGAAGCTCTCCTACTTTGGGTATATAATGAGAGTCAGGGTTCTCTGAAAATGACAACAATGCTTGGAATAGAAGGCATCAGGAAAAGAATCCTTCAAATATGTAATGGATCAACACTATAAAACAGGGGTGTCAAACTCATTTTCACTGGGGACCACATCAGCCTTGCAGTGGCCTTCAAAGGGCCAAATGTAATTTCAACTCTTTAACAGTTAAGGAGCAGTTACATTTATACAGTTCTAAAATTATCTCAGCCCTTTGAAGACTACTGTGAGGCTGACATGGCCCCCAATGAAAATGGGTTTGACACCCCTGCTATAAAAGAAGCCATAGGCTGAAGTCTACAAGAGCTGAGCAGGGGTATTGAGGATAAGACATTGTGGACATCACTCATTAATAGGAGACAACCCAACAACACATAACACACAAAAGTATGATAAGCCCAAGGCTCTGTGCCTAGTGTGACAATTGGACAAGTCAATCCTGCTGCCTCTTACAAGCTATGATAATTGGCCAAATTCACTTGACTATGCCTTGACCAGGAAACTACTCTATTGCTACCATATAATGTGGTAGTAAAAAGTAGATGAGTTATTACAAATAAAAGAATTACATGACACATAGTAAATTAATGTTCTATTGTTATTATCAAATTCCCATAGAATTCTTTGGCATTATATGATAATTATTCACTGTGCTTAAGTTTTCAAACAAACTAAAAAATAATTTAGGGGCTTTGCAAGAAATAAATGATAGAGATTTGTTCCAGGGTCTTGGAATTTGCAACCTGGAAACACAACTAGGCAAAAACACAGAAGTGTTCCAAAGCAGAAAGCAAAGTGAAAAATTCTTATGGCAAGAGGTATTTTCTTCAGTTCTGGCTAGGTTGCTCAGGCAGTTGGAGCATTGTCCCATAAACAAAAATGTCACAGATTCAATCCATAGTCAGGGCACATACCTAGGTTGTGAAATCCATCCCTGGTTGGAGTACATATGGAAGGCGACTGAATGATGTTTCATACATCAATGTCTCTGTCTCTCTCTGTCTCTCTCTCCCTTTCTCTCTTTCCCTTCCTCTCTCTCTAAAAGTCAGTAAACATATACTTGGGTGGGGATTTTTTAAAAAGTACTTTCTTGAGAATCACCAGTCCAGAACCCTTGGCCCTAGGACTGGTCCAGGATGGTTATCAGTCAGATAACTGGCAGTAGGGGCGATGGATGCCTGGAGATCTGGTCAGTCCCTGTGGTCTGAATAATGGATGTCAGGGTGGATGCACATGTGAGCTCTTCAGGGAGGTCATCAGATGTCCTGGAAATGTGAGCACTTCAGGGAGTAATTAGAGGGCTATCATGAGGTCCAGATGTACATCCAGGCATTGACACAGGGCTGGAAAGTTCAAGAAAGTTTAAGTTTGCAGGCTAGTTAGAACAAGAATGATCTTTCTTTATGCCCTAAACT